AATATACTCGATCGATAGTTTCTGTAATATTAATAAGTCCGTTAAAGGGAACACGTTTGGAGACAAAAGACGAGAAAGGGCCCCCAGAGAATAGAGAGAATTGTGTCTCGGTAAAAACTGGTGCACCGATGCGATGCGATGTGTGTGTATCAGCTTATGGAAGCGTTGTGCCGCAGCCGTTATCATACGGGCAAGCAGCGAGATAAGGGCAACAGAAACCGTGGTTCGGGAGCCACTTCAAGATGTCGAGACGCCGACATTGTTCGATCCGGGCGACTTGGGGGGATAATCTTGGAGAAGTACAAATGTATTTTTGGGAAAAGAGGGAGAGGAGCAGGAAGAGAAGAAGGGATTATCATTGAAATTTTTCTCGGGAATCCTTGTATCGTATATTTTAAGAGTTAAGGGGGATAGGAGCAATGTGAAAACCCCGCATAAAACATCTCATATCAGAGCAATAGTGTGCGCAATGTGTATTGTTTGTGGTGTGTATATATCGGAGATTATACGTTCATGAGATAAAGTGTTGCTTGTTACTGTCAAGAAGATTCTTTCATGAACGGTGAAATTGATTGTCGAGTCCGCGATCGATTCTCGGCGCGACGCGTGGAACAAGATCCATTATCTTTACGCCATCAACACGTATAAATATTATTTAAGCTAATATACTACAAGTTGTTCCAGGTACTTTATTTCTTGACGATATATTTGAACGAAGAAGAAGAAAACTTAGAATTAGGTATTCTCCTCGATGAAAATTTAATTAGATACCATTCTTTTATATATGATTTTGTAATTTTTAATTCTCGTAATAAAGATAAAAGTTAAAATCTTGTATTATAATAAGATATAAATAGAATTAAATAAAAAAAAAGATTTTTTTTGTCTATTTGTATTACGACATTTCATGAAAATGTTTTCATTTCAATTACTTGTAAAGGCTCGAAGCTTTGATATTAAAATAAATGACATTTTTTACTTTGGCATCTAAAAATTCCATAGCTGAGAAGGTACGCAATTCTAGGATGTACACTGTTTAATTCATATTTGTCATATACTGGCGTAAAGTGTCACACGAATATCGACATCGGACTCGACATAGGAACGACATAAGGTTGGCATTAATAATACAATACGATATGTCTCTTTAGTTATATCACATTCTTAATACATGGTTAGTCGTTAATAATAATTATAATGGGTGTCTCAGAATCACTTTTCTATCATTTACTCTTTGACATATTCGAAATTAATCTGTTTATATATTACAAATTTAAAAAGAGACTATAATTTATTGCTCTTTTTCGATTTGCAGCATTAAATTCTTTAACAAATAAAAAAACTCAAATTAATTTTCCCTTGAGAGAAAATTCATTCGGAATTAACCGAAAATCTAGATGCTATTTCTATTTGCGCTCTTAAAACATAATTTGCCATCATCCTTTAATCTTGCTTAAAAGAATAGAATAGATTAATCTAAAATATAAAAAAAAATCTTTTAGAAATTTATAACATATTGCTATTTTTTATTTAAAAAATAGTATTTTTTTCTTGCTTTGCTAATTAAAATATTTTATTATAAAAAGAATTGTTGCAAATCTGATACACCCTGTATGCAAATTTTTCTATTTCGACATATGAATTTGTCTATCATATAAATTTGTATGTATTATAAGTATATAAATAAATTATATGAACAAATTTATATCTTCATATAAGTGCATAAGGCACGCGTGCGTATATATGTATACATATACATATGATTGTGGTGTCGAATTGAAATCGCTGTTAGCGAAACCATTAGTGACGTTTAGGGAGCGGTGTCGAGAAAGAATCAACGTGATACCTGGTGATCGCGTATAAAACACTCCCATTATCATCGCTGGCCGATTACACGGCATGACGATTATGCTTGGGACACAATATAAAAATTATGGGTTAAAAGCTGGATTGCAATAAAAGGGAAAAGAGATAGAGACAGATTAATACAATGTGTTGGGCAACACCACCTAGAAATAAAATACACATTACAGAAATCGACATTAACGCCAGGAAATTATTTGCCAAAATCTACGATATCGTATGCACATACTTACTCATACACTAAAATGTAAGAGCAGACATGTTATATATTTGACGTTAAATTCTCTAGATATGTTAATGCCAAAGTACAACACTATCTATGATGTTAATCAGTACCCCGAAACTAATGTCAAAATGGAAAATGATCTAAAATTATGATTTGATTTATGAATTATGTCAGTTACGCTCGATCGACTCACGCACATTCGATTTAGCAATATTACTAGAAATTATCTAGAAATTATTTTCTCGAATGATTTTTTTAAATTATTGTATCACCCTTTCCCCGACATTCTCATAATAACTCTAATTTATTTTTCTTAACAAAAACAATGCAATCGAAAAGATATATTATATTAATGTTTGCAATATAATAAAAGAAATAGATTGGAAGAATAAATTTTCAATCCAATTAATTTTTTAAATATACTTGTATAAAGTATGGTGTATCTTTAAAAAAAGATGAAATTATTAATAATCTGATCTAGCTTCAAGCACGTATTATTTCTTTGTGTTATTATAGCCATTTATTGTTAGTAATAGTCGTAAATAGAAAATTATATCACACACACACACACACACACAAATATAAGTGATTACTATTAGATATAATTCTTTTCCGATAAAGATATAATAATTTAAATAATAATTTATTTTTAAATGTGTTAATACTCACATGTCTTAATATTCTGGAAAATTACTCTAATCGTTATCCAATCATAATAAAATTATGCAGCATTAAATAATTCAAAATTTTTACTACGATTTTTCTTTTTTACGGGAAAAAATATATGAGTATCTCAGAGTGTCAGTAAAATCGACTGCAATCTGTCGATCGAGCGCGACTTGCAAAATGATCTAAGACGATGATATGAATTCGAAGTCATATCTTCTTTCTAATCTGTTTGCCTATATAATACGAGCTACGTTGAATCGATGCTGTAATATCGATTTAATAATACCTTTGCTTGAATTAAGGCCCCGGTAAAGAACTGCAAGTGTGCATATATCGTTAAGTGGATTAATACAAATAAAAGTCGGTTGAAAAGTGTTTGTAATAAGCGAAAGAGTTCAGGTGTAATTTCATGATCATGTCATAGAAATTGATTCGCAACCAAGGCTTCAAATTTGTGCAAAATTATGCGTGCTGTTCGATGACCTTATCAATCCCTGCTGATATCGTTAATTTTACGATATGTTCGTAAAAAAATAGCGGTCTGATATGAGGGTCCGATTGGACCAGGAGAGATTACGACAATAATCGCCGACGCGCATTTCATAGCGAGACGGACGTAAGGAAAGAGAGAGAGAGAGAGAGTTTAATTTGATATAAGGACGGAAACGTCGCGAATCGTTTGCCATAATGAGAAGGTCACGCTATCAAGTTTATTAAAGATGAAATTTAATGATCAAGAGAGTCGATTATGACATTGATTAGTTCAATTTTCCCTTTTTACTGCGCCTTCGTATATTGTACTTACATACATTAGATTTTTAATTTTATAATAACTACATTATCTGAGATTAGATAAAAACATTATTAATAAAGAATCGTTCTTTTTTGAAACAAGAACATATCGCACAGATAGAATTTAAGATATCCCAATTGGCATATTATAAAATACTTAATTTTCAGAAAAACAGAAATTAAATATTTTCTCATTATTTATTTTTCTAACCAAATAATTATTTTTTAAATTGTCCCGTTTTGTAAATGCAATTCTTTTGCATGATAAAAATGCACGCATTTCACACACATATTCTGCAGATATAATATTACAAAAGTCCAAATAAAATATTTAAAAAAAAAGACATTTATACGAATATGAATAGAAAAAAAGACTCAACACAAAGCCATGCATATACATTTCCAAATATAAATATTGATCATAAGTAAACTGCTTAAGATATTAAAATAATATAAACGTGATTTTTACATGACAGGGGAATCCGTCACATGTCGCTGGCAATGCAACTTTTAAGACAACTTGACTTATCGATTAAGTTAATTTTCTTGAGATTGTTAAAACACACAATCAATCCAAGAAACTATATTGTGTACAAGTATCAAACAAATGTAATTTTGTTTTGGTAACTTCCCAACGTCGTAGATAGAACGTAGCTATGAGAACGAGCCAGAAAGCAGCACGAAAACATGACAATGAAGTATGTCCTAAAAACAGCGACCTTATTAAAGATCACTGTTTAAATATAATCACCTGCTAAACTCTCGAATCATCATATATAGTTTCTCTAATATATTTTTGTCACAAGTTTCTCATGTTAAAAACATTTTAAAAAGAGAAAGAGAAACGGGGTGGTCTAGAATAGATTAAATTGATCAATGTCGATTAACGTCCTTGTTGTGACAACTCAACCTCTTGGCTCAAATTCAACAATAGTTTCCCGATAACGAATCGCGATTCGATAGAGTGTTCCGTTAAAAATTGAAGCTCATTAATAATTTTTCAATAAATTGAATCTGATATTCGCGTATGTCCTTCTTCTTAATAAATTATTCATGTGGATAATCATATGGATAAATTAAAAATATCAAGTATAGTAATTAAATCGCAAAGTAAACTTTTTCTTCAAAATTCTGTTAAAATAAACACCATCAAAATTATTTAACAGAAAATGTTTCAATATATTAGTTATTTATATGTGCGAGTGAATATTAATAGAGTTTGGAAAATATTTGTAGTTTAAGAATTTTAATAAAGGAAAAATAATTGTCTACTAACTCGAAATGTATGTTTATATTACCTTTCTTTTTTCAGGGATATGTTATATAGATTGTATATATTATACTTGTTACACGTGACAAAGAGGGCAACGATGCGCGATGTTTCGCGATCTCTGTGTTGCATCTCGTCTTTGCGCGCGCGCGCGCGTGATTTGGTTTTAATGCGACTTACCCTTGCCGCGATGGATGTGGTTGGTTTCTCAAGAAGATCCCACAGCCACTTCTGATATTGGGCACATTTTCCCTCGCCAAATTCCTCCTCCTCGCGCTGCCGGAGCGACTCCGCCTCTTTGCGCATCTCCTCGTGCACGTGCTCTTTACGCTGATGATACTTGTGCTGGCAACAGCTCTCGAGATAGAGCTCGTCGACGCCCCAGTATGCGAGATCGTCGCTGAACGCCAACACGCACATCTCGTCTACCAGGTGGAGCTTGCCGGTGCGATAAAAGTTGAGGATTGAGCTAAAAGACTTGGGATGTCGATCAAAGAAGTACTCGTTGTCGATTAAAGAGTAATCGTCGCAGAGTTCAGTGATCGCCTCGTGGGTATTGCAATCCCGTAACCGGCCTAGCCGCGTATGCGGCAATCGCTCGAGGGTGCGCCAAAGCACCTCGTGCTTCACGCCGCCGACATTGATCGAGACACGCCGGTTCAGCGCCTTCGAACGCATGATCATAAACGGCTCCGGCGGCAGGGACGTCATCGACCTCGAGAAAGCACGTTGCTGCTGCATCTGCAACGGCAGGGGCGGCGGCAGCGGTGGCGGCGGCGGCGGTGGCGGCGGCGGTGGCGGTGGCGGTAGAGACGGTAGGTTTACCGGCGCCACGGTGCCGACCGGTCCTACAGACGACGAAAACGGAGCGTAACGGACTTCCTTGTTCACGCTTCCTCCACCACTCCCTCCCCCTACTGCTCCTCCTCCACCCATTCCGACGATTCCCGCGATTGCCGCGGCTCCTCCGGCACTACCTCCACCGTATCCTATCCCGCCAACCAACCCAACCCCCGATCTAACTCCTGTCGACACACTGAATCCAAAACCTCCTCCGCCACCGGTGCAGTCGGTGTTCCCGCGACCGGCTGCACCGGGCTGCTGCAACATCGTCGTGCCGCCACCCTCGAACACGTAGCCCTGGTCGGTGCTGATGTAGGGCACCGTACACGACGGTGACGACGATGAAAGCGCCGGGCCGGTGAGCACGGCGCTACCATTACGTTCCCCGTCCGCCAGTGTGTTGTCCTCGAGCCGTCTCTCGTTCAGCATCGGACGCGCCGAGCGACGGCGGGTTCAAATCGTTGGCCACCAGCGCGATCGCAAAGCGATCCTTCGCGTTGCTCTCGACGCCGATGCTTTCGTTCGTCTATCTGATATCTGATAAGCGGCGTCTTTCTCGTTTTCTTTTTCTTTCTTCTTCTTCTTCGTCCTCCTCCTCCTCGTCCACGGTGTTCCTCTTCAGCTTCATCCGTAAATCGGTCCAGCCCCTTCCGTCGACTCGGTCGACAGACTCTGCCGTATCATAATCTGAAAGATATATCGGAGGCATCTGACGTAAATATGTTGTGTATCATGTGTATAAGGAATATAAATTATATCTTGTGCGTTACATAATACACAATTCTGTCTAAAATCCCCCAAAAATTTTTCAAAATGTAATTTTAAATCTGTCTCAAATATGTTTGGATTGAACAATCTAAATGTGAAATGTATTTAAATCTGTTCAAGCTACAGATGTGAGGTATTTCCTTTGAAGGTAAGCAATAATACTTGTTGAAACAGTCTGTCATAAACAAAGTCGTTTTAGACATATGGTTTTATAAACTTTTCTCATCCTGAATTTATCATTGCAATGTTTCTTTATTTTTGTTTTTAATTATAAATACTAGAAGTTAAATATGTATATTAATTATTGATTGACATTAGTCATTTTTAAATTATAGATAATTAAATGTTAAATGGCTTAAATATTGCTAATGTGCAAATCCTAGTTTCTGTGTGTTTCTTCGAAGGCAAATAACTCTCGAAAAAAATGATCGATATAATTCACCACATGGCCCCCGCAAAATCGTAACTTTATTAAAAGCATTACACCCGTCGTATCTGCAATTATACTCGCATCATTCGTTACTCTAAGCGATCAAAGCCCGCCTTATAAAATGTACCAAACTAACTTTCTTCCGTTCTGTTTAGTTTTTTCCCTTCCTTTCCTATCCTAAATTCTTTATTTAAAAATATATCTTATAGATTTCACGCATACAAACACACACATTATTACAATACAGTAAAATGACACTACATCGAAATAATAATAAATTAACAATTCAATAATCAGTAAATTGTTAAATACAAGGCGCGTGTGTCTATGTGTGTAAAATATATAATGCACGTTTACTAACATATATATGTATTATACATAATAATATATGATACATGAACCCGGCATTCCCGAAGGGAATTTATCATATCAACTTTATCATACATATTTCTCAAAGAGAATGAACTTTTTTCTCTATATATATATATATATATATATATATATATATATAGTGGAAAAAGTTCATTCTCTTTGAGAAATATGTATGATAAAGTTGATATGATAACTCCCTATATATATATGTATATAGGGAGCGAAGAAACGAGAATCGATCTTTCTCTCCCATCTCTCCCTCTCTTTTTCTCTCTCTAGCGAGGGAGTGGATGTACACTTGACCTGACTCCCAAAGAGGAGAGAACGCGACATTTTCTGATACGACATAGTATATATACAGTCGGAACTCATTTCTGTATGCGCACACTTCGCGAAACATACGGTTTCCGCTCTCCCGCGACTTGATCCAAAGACATTTGTGCGATGAATAACTATTGATCTTTGACCTTTTCGGTCCAGAGTAGAACGTGGCACTGCTTAGAGTCACGAATATTTTCGATGTAAATTTTCTCGTGCTTCATTTTGAATTCTCACTTGAAAATAATTATATATAATTAATCTCTCTCTAATGCTCGCGCTCTATATAATTATTACAGATATATGTACATACTCAGATTTGTAGAAAAACTTTCTATAACATAACTTTTTTATGAAAAAAAAATATATTTTTTACGAACAATAATCTTGATTCAGGCAAATGTCAGTAACGTCAATTAGCATATAGACAAAAGCAAAGCCAAAGAGGAAAATCATTAAATTAAATTCCTGCTATATCCGAATATTCTGAGATATTCTACTATCAGATATTCGAATTTAGTAATCATCTTGACGATTTACTGATCATAATAATTATTGACATGAAAAGATACGATTTATAAACAAATCTAATACGATACAATCTATATCCTTATCGTGCAAGCACACAGATAGAATTTTTTAATGCGACTGCTTTTATTTTAAATTTATATGGAGAGAAGATTTGCAATCCTCAATTCTTAATAGAATAGCGGAAAGATGTCAAATAAGGGGCATTACACAAAACGGCGAGGGATGTTCGCGGTGTCGAATAGATCTCGTTTAGGAAATATATTTGACGAAATTACTCGCGAAATTTGTCACCATTGATGGATCGCATCATTATGGGGCGATTACTTAATACGCGACCAAATTTCTGACAGCTTAAAGATTGCTCGATTCGGCATTATTTCGGGAAATTCTTCTCTATCGATTCTTTATTTTGCGTCTTTATCCGTCGCGATGCCCCGATTATTGATTATGTTATTTCTCAAAATTATTTGTCCGTTTTTCTCAGCCATCAGTGGTAATACGAGAATGCTTAGTGAATAAAATTCTCAGAGAAAACTCTTTTGAAAAGACTTTTTCTCTGCATATATATATATATATATATATTTTAGAAATATTTAGAGAAAACTCTAGCATATTTTTGTTTTTCGCAGAATGTTTTCAACGTACCATGCAAATATTCATAAAAAAGAGAATAATATAAAAATGCGAGAAGAGTTATTTTGATAACGGAATCATATTCCAAGGAAACAATCTCATGTTACATTTTCGAACGTTTCAAATATCTATTGTAAATATCTTGAAAATGTTCTCCATTTCGCAACTTTTAAAATATCAGAGAAAACACAAAAAGGTCTGAGAATTCGAAAAATTTAACGGCAAGTGCAACAATTGGTTGCATCATGGTTGCATCGTTTAAACTTCTTGGCGTCGAATCAATAACATTGACAATTCGCGAGGATAATTCACTAGCGATTGCTGAAAAAAAAAAGAAAAAAAAATGGTATTCATTCGTAGTTTATGTTATAAAAGAGCACCTATCTTCGAGAGAAAAGGATATGTTCGCTTGACGAGCGTCGAATAGGTTTATCTCGAGGCTTGATACAGGGTAGTTTACGAGCGACAGTAGAGTAACGACCGTGCCTGTCAGACAGTAGTAAGGGGCAACACTACGGAAACCCGAGATAAGGCTTGCTCTAAAATTATATCGCAACTTCTTCTGTAACATAATTAAAGCGCGTATTTTTACGATATAAAATAATATTTTATCCTCTCTGGAATTGAGCGTTCACATTGATATGTCTATTCTAATCTCTCTCTTTCAAGAAATCTCTCACCTCTCTCATAAATGTTCCTTTTTTTTCTTATCAAAATTATTCTTTTAAACAATCAATTTTCGTAATGTGGAAAGCAAATATGTTACTGAAAATTGCACAAATATTTTTTACGTCTTTTAAAATCAAATTTAAGCTATATTTTCCACAGAAAAATCTTCGATAATCCATCAATTATTGAAATATATCGGAGCAAAACCACTAATAAAAGAAAAGCTAATTTTAAAAATATCGTTTTTCGTCAGCTATTATCCACTTGAAATCATCTCGAAATTAACGTTAAGCCTCCGATTAATTAAAAGTCTGCTTGTGAAGATTATAATAACGAAACGGGAAGCGAATCACTGACCCGGATTACAAGCGGATCTTGGAACTCGACTTCAAGGGGCTCGCTCAAACCGTACTACGCGCGGCTTGACAGATCCAAGGGCGACCAGCTGAGAGCGCGCGAACGATGTACGGGGACAATCTCGTGCTATCTGGATCTTGCTGGGTCCGGGAACATTCTTGTTGACGACGACTACGACAACGACGCGTGCTGTACCGGTGGTACGCGTCGCGCGGCGGCTACTATACGGAAATAGACGAGAGGCGTGAGCGAAGCAAGCTAGCAGCAACTAAAGCAGTCTCCGCGCGATTATCTCTTGGCGCGTTACTCACCTCTCTCTTGCTTCTGCTTTAAACATGATCGCTGCTCGGCCGAGGAAACGGCGCGTCGTTGCGTGTCGCGCTGGAATGTCGCATCTCGTCGAACCGGCAAAATCGCCTCGCGATGTCCGCTTTGGTAATAACGATGACGAATAGTGACGACGACGACGACGACGATGACGACGACGACGACGACGACGACGACGGCGACGACCGCACTGGCACTACCACTTGTTCCACACTGGGCGCTGCGATCGACGCCCCGCAAGTCTATCGATTAAACGCTAATGTGGGTACGGTCGGGGTACGAATACGAGGGTGCGCGCGATGCGCTCCGAGAAGAAACGTCCCGTGCCGGGGATACCGGACGCGAGAGATAATCAGATGAAGACGGGGGACAATCGTGATAAATACCACTAGCCGATCTGGCTACCGGTCGGCGATCGGCGAAGAAAAAGAAAAAGAAAAAAAAAGGGAGGAGAAGTCGAGCGAGCGCGCGAGAAACTCGAACGATTATCGGCACGATTACCAACGTTACTACTACCGGCCTGAAGTCGCCCGCTCTCTTTTGATAGTTTAGAGGTGACGATACAGTCTCTATGTGCCACTGTAACTGCCGTTGGCGCCGACAGAGGCACTACTTGGACACGAGCCAGCGGTGCGCCTTGGCGATTATCCCGAGCCATCCTGTGCGCCCCGAGTTGCGCGTCGTCCCCGCACCCTGCTCCAGTGACGAAGCGGTGCTTTTAAAGTGCGGGCGATTCCTATGTCTCTCTCTCTTTTTCTCTCTCCCTCTGCACAGCCAACAAGACATATAATCACTTTTGGGCGCAGCGTCACCGCGAGAGTGGATATATTTTCGATATTAATCATCGTCTTCTAATCGTCTAATAAATTACAAAATAATAATATAGAATTAATTTGTGGATTTAATAAGATAAATTATTGTTAAATGTTATTAATTATTATTAATTATTATTAAATGTCTATAAATTATACATTTTTTCTCACATAGTAATTTGAAACGCGCATTTAACTTTTATCGTTAAATTAACTTTAGCTGTAATAAGAAAAGATATGAAGATGTAAAATTAAAAGCCAAAAGAGAGAGAGAGAGAGAGAAAGAGAGAGAGAGGGAGAGAAAGAGAGAGATGGAAAAAAAGAGAGAGGGAGAGATTTTATTGCTTTTAAATTACTTATAAACAATTAATATTATATTAAATATTATACTAATAACGATATATGTGTTATAGTTGCGTCACAATAATTTTATCGATAATTTGTTTATGTACTACGTTTTATAGAGAGTATCATGCCCGATCGATGCTTCCATCCCTCTTTTCCCTTATCCGGCCTTCTTTTCTGGCTTGCGCGATCTCGCACTGCAATATCATTGGAATTCACAAAGTTGGAATTTTCGACACGAAGCCAGGAGATTGGACCTCCGCATCGCCAACGTTCTTCGCGAGGAGCGAATCGATAAAGCATCGTATATGCGCCGAAGAACCGTTCCACGTGTAGTTAATAGTCAGATCGATATCATATCGAAACGAGGCCAATATCGAATCGGTCGGAAAAAAGATTAAAGGCCGCAGAAGACCGAAACTGCTGCAATATCGAAGCAAATCGCTGTCCGATCGACAGGAAATCTATCCAGCCTGCCACGAAATCAGGTTACTACATTCATACAGATAATGCGACTGCTTGTTGCCCACACGATGGCATCACCGAGAGAGAGAAAGAGAGGTGGTATTTTTAGAGACAGCATGGAGGTCATCACGAATAATATACAGTGATCGATTCTTAACAGTATTTTTGCACATTCGCATAATCGCTCTCGCGAATTTGTATGTAGATTTAGTATGTAGATTTAAATGTCCATATATAAAAGACGTCTAACATTTGTTATAAATCATTGAAAGACTAATCTACAAAACTCACATATAATTTCCTTATTAAAATAATGTGATAAGAATTTTATTCTATGTAGAAAAATTAAATTATTAAAAATCAATTATTCTTTAAATTCAAAGCTTTTAGATTTGACACTTTTTTAGTTTTTTTTTTTTTTTGACAATTTAGTAAAAAAATAAGTTTCTAAGTATCTTTATCTTTGTCACTTTAAAAAAATTTTTTTCTTTTTTCTTAATACCATAAATGCCATATAAAAAGCACGGGTGACCAGAGACATTCAAATTAATTTAAATGCTTGCAACAAGTAAATTCTAATACTTTTAAACTTTTGAAAGATAACATATTAATATTATGGAGGTCGTAGATAAAATAAATGCACTACAAAGATTGCATATATATATGAACATTATTATATATATAATCTGATACAATAATAAATATCCCAACCGAATCTATTATTCTGTTATAGAATAATTTCATTACTATCCTTGGTAGTAGGATTAAGATAAAACCGCGTTCGAGTGTGAAAACTCAAGCATAATCTAAATTTTAGAATGTGTTTTGTATCAATTGAGAGGTAGATGGTGATTTAAATATATCAAACTTACTTGAAAATATTATTTTATTCTCTCCAGGAAACATGTACATCGTCCGTTCGGTATCTCTGAACGCAAGTAGTTTGTATCCAAGGAGTACCGCCCTCGCACTTGTATTGGAGCAATCCAGCGACTGCAATCATAACGCCGTTATCTATGCAGAATCGCTCATCCGTCGCGTAAAGAGTTGCATTTCTTTCTTTACACATGACGCTCATCATTTCCTGCAGTCTCTCATTGCATCCTACGCCACCCACGATCAACACTTCGTTCGATCTCACGTGCGCCATCGCGCGTTCTGCAACATTATTTAATGTCAAGCAAGGAAAGAACAAAATCATTCAACGAATGGTTACCTGTAATTTCGATGAGCATGGCAAACACAGTTTCTTGTAAGGAAAAACATAAATCTTCAGGAGTAAATGCCTTTGTATCGAGCCATTTGGATAAATGTTCCTCTATATGACTTAAGATACCAGAGAACGATACATCCATCCCTTTCACAACGTATGGTAGCGGTGCCAGTTTCTCACCCCTTTTCGTACCCATAAAATTTTAATTGAATCCAGCATTCGAGATCCCATAAGTGTGATCTTGAAGGTTAATATTTATCGAGGATTTCTGAGATGAAATCCTAACAGAACATTAATCAAATATAAAAATTTGCTTACTTTTTTGCTAACTGTTCTATGTTATATCCAGGACTGGGATCATTTGAGAGTTTTAATAGCCTCGCAAACCTGTCCAAACAATTTCCTACTGCTATGTCGATTGTCTCGCCAAAAATACGATATCTTTGTCGAGAATATGCAATAATTTGAGTGTTTCCACCGGAAACATACAAAACGGTAGGATTTTCACTACCAGTAATCAAACGTCCCATTTCGATATGACCAATACAGTGATTGACTGAAACTATAGGTTTATTGTACAACTGGGCAACAGTCCTAGCTACTAAAGCAGCAACTGTCAATGGTGCTCCCATTCCTGGTCCTTTTGTGTAACAAACAACATCTACATCCTTCATGCTAATCTTTGCATCATCTAAGGCTTTTTGCAAGACATCTAGTATATGTTTTCTATGATGTTGGGCTGTTTCTCGAGGTAAAAAACCTAATAAAAAGATATGTCTAAATTACATATTAGTATATTTATATCAGAACTGTTCATAATCTTTATGAATATTAAGCCTACTTTAGACAATGTTTATTAGCAACAAAATTCGCAGAATTTTATTTGTCATTTTAAATTGTAAAATTTAATGTGTAACCATGTATATATTTTATACAAAAGTTTTGTACATATATTTTAACTCTTCTAATAAAATGTTTTTATTAGAATCATATGTTACATAAATGGTAGAAAGATTGGCTAAAGTAGACTTGATACAAATCTCTATCAAGAAATTTTAAAGCTGTTGTGAAATTTTGCTCAATAAATAATCAAAAGGCTTACGTCACATATATTATGTCAAGTGTTTACAAATTTACGCATGATATATGTACAAAATATTACTTTGAGGTTACCTTCTCCCGGTGGAGTAATATAAGTATGCCGCACGTTTGATAATACTAGCTCATCTCGAATTATTCCTATGCCCAATTTATTCGCGCTACCTTCAAATCCCATAGCAATCACCATTTTTATAATTTTTCTGTTTCTGATGATTAATATAAATATTTATTCACATAATAATTGAATGATGTACATGTACACACGATCACGTGGTCTGCCATTAATTCGCTTTTTGTAAGAGGGCACAACTGGACCAATACTTGGAGCCAATTTGCAACACAAGATTGCGTTCGAAAATCTACTTGGCAAATAAAATAGCATTTGATGGACCAATCAGAACGAAGGGAATACGGATTTCTTTTCGGTAAAAAGTTAAAAATTGGCCAATTTTCTTTTGGCAACCGCAACTGTCATTCACAATCGGAAATTACATTTTTCAATTGGGGTGCGTTCAAAAATCGAACGCAATTCGCATAAAATGACTCGACCAATCACAGTATTCGCGGCAGTGAGTATCAAGTTTGTCAACTATGTCGGTGTTTACGCTCGATGGTTGAGCGATGGGAGAGAAACCGTCTCCCAAGTAAGTCCATTGTGAACATATTCGACGTTTACGCGAGAACGAATCTGGCCGGAACACGTGCCAGAAAATGCAAGTTATCGGGTCGTCGCGTTAAGAAAAGTGAGTGTCCGTTCGTCCCGCGATACACGTGGGCTTCCGGCAAACAAAAAAAGAATAAGAAAGAAAATATTATTCTGGTCGATCGCGTCGCTTGTTAGATGGGCGATTGATTTTTGGTGTCGCGCAAGCGAATTTCCGTGAGTTTTAACGAGCGCGTGAGCGAACGTGCACGCGAGAAAACGTATACCTTGACGTGTACGATTTTCGCGATTCGCTAGTAGTTTGTGTGACGGCGGCATTAAGTAAGAGTCAATGCTAGAGGGAGAGAGAAAGAGAAGAGAGAGGGTGGAATCTGGTGCGCGAATGTGTGTATGCAGCAAGCTGCGGCAGGAAAGAAAGAGAGAGAGAGAGTGAGGACACGCACGAGAGAGAGAGAGAGAGAGAGGGAGAAAAAAATGGGAGCGAAAAGGAGGCGCCGTCAACGTTCGCTTTTACGAATTGACGGAGCGAAGGGGGCAGATGTGTGAACGCGCGCGCGCGCGCGCGCGTTCTCTCTGCCGGTTACTCTCTCTCCTCGGGCGGTTCTCTCTCCAATCGCATTCCGCGACTTCGTCGGGCGATTTGGCGTTTACCCGGGTAAACGCCCCCGCCCCCTCGGTGTCGTTTCGGGCGCGCGCGCGCGCGCGATACCGCCGTTTAACGCGTTTCGAAGTCCCCCCGCGTGGGAGCTTTGACATACGCGAAACTGTGTGGCGTCGTATCCACGCAATCGAGAAAAAAAGAATACAAATAAAAATAAATTTTTTAATCATTACTAATTATAATTAGTAAATACGATGAAGAGGATATAATGTCCGGTGAAACAATTGCATCTTTCTTTTACTCAAATTAAAAATAGATAATAATATATATTATATATTTTATGTAATGTATATATCGTACAAAAAATGAGAAACTTCTTTGTAATGGCCTTGAAAAAAAAAAAAAAAAAAAAAAAAAAAAGTGATGTGTTGTCTCCCTCTAATAGGGATAGAGATAAAAGTAGAGCATGTCGCGTCGCGAGTGACCGCGTATCGAGCGATGTGCCCCGGTTTTCGCTGTGACGGGCAAACGGGATAGCGAGATGCCCGCCGCGAGGATGAACGTTGTTGTCCATTCGCGCGTGAATCGTGTTTGCCGGAGTCGTAAATCTCACGGCTAAATGTCGATTCTAAATTGGGCGCGCGGCCGCGCTACACCCGCCGTCGTCGCGAGTGTCGCCGACTGCAGCTCGTTACCTCGCCCGAGGAGGACGCGTTTTCGTCGCGAGATCGCGATCGACCGCGATCGCGACACCATCGGTCCGTTCCTCCTCGAAGGCCGTTGACGATCCCTCGCGCGCGCTCGCGCGATAATATCGGGTTCCCCGGGAGCTCTGTCCCGGAGTTTGATTCCGCGCGCGGAACCGTTCGCGGCACGCATGGATCTCTGGACGTGCGGTGAGTGGCCGATGGTAAGGCATCGCATTGTCCGGCGATGTGTTCGCTTTGCAGCGGACGACGCATTACGTATCATATATTTATGTGAACTGTAGAGAGAGAGAGAGAGAGAGAGAATAAAAAAAAAAAAAGAGATAATCAGAGATTCACGTGAGAACAAAAATCCCCCGAAACATTAGAGAATGCTAACTTTATAACATCTTCTCTCGACTCGACGACGCCAGATTTGTGACATGTAGAATTTTTCACTTAGGCCAGTCGGATTCTAAGGACGAGTGCTTCTGGTACTTCCTTCTGGTCTTTTGCGGCGGCCGGCGTATTATCCTTATGGTTGCAGTATTGTCTACGGAGGATTAACATTATTGATACCTGTACCGTGCTCTATATCTGGATTAATTAGATATTCTTCGCTGTACCTTTGGTCTTCCATCTTGCATTTTTATCATAAGGTAAATTTTGGTTTCGAACTATTTTGTTTGGATAGATTCAAATAATAATACCATGATAATATATATATAATAGGCAAATACAAATTCTCACACACACACACACACACACACAGGCAGTGGTAGATGTGCTAGAAAATACTTGGAATATACTCCTTTTGATTTTCTTTTACCTCTATAATAGAATGGTTGGTTGCCTATCTATGTATGGAAAGGATTTATATTAAAAGTTTAAACTAATTTTACTATAGAAATGAAAGTATATTAATCGTAAGATAAATATTCCACAAGTATTTTATAGTACATATCCCAAGGCTCATATTTCTCTATCGTATTATTCTTATTTGCATCTATTCTAAGAAGATAAATCATAAATATATCGAGTTTTATTCACATATATCTTATGTAATAATGCTTCCAAGATTATTTGATATACATTTGTATATATTTAATTAGTAACTCTAGACAAAATTCTAAATTATAATTATATCATAATAATATATCACATTTTATAAAATGTAAATGCCTAGTTATACATTTCAATATAATTTGATTAAATTTTATTTTGATTGTATATACTGTAATAATTCAACATGAAATGAAATAAAACAATTAAATTTCTGTTGCTAGAAATGTCGTCTCGAGATTATGATAGAAGAAGAGGTGGCAGCGGTAGCGGTAGCAGCTCAAGCAGGCTGCGAATGGACACGAGCGTGTCGCAACCCAGACCACATGGCGAAAGTTCCAGCAAACGAAAAGAGATAGACAATGTAATGAGGAAAGCTCGCGAATCGCAATCAAGCTATTGGAATAAGAAGCTGCTAGAGGCAGAAGAACGAGATCCGAATAGATGGCGTCACAGCGGATACAAGGAGTTATACGTCGGTGGCAGCGGCGAACCCAGCAGAGGACACCCTAGAAGCCCGAGAAGCCCCCGACCACGCAGTCCCCATAGTCCGCGACCGCGTAGTCCTCGAGCGAGGAGTCCACGATCACCACGCGAGCGTTCTTCCCGCGAACACAATAGAGGCAGACAACCGGCCGCTCGTAGTCCCAGCACAGGCACCACGTGCTCCGATAGATCGTGTTCCGTTTGTTCGCCGAAAGAACGACGACGTGTCGCGCCGCCGTCCCGCTCGCGTTCCCGATCGATCACACCGGTACGAGCCAGAGCGCATCCTAAGGAAGTGGTTGCTTCCAGTTCGCGAGCTTTACCGCCGCGTGCCAGACCGCGATCGCCGCCGTTACCGCGTCCGCGTACTCCACCACCGGCACCGCAGCCGCCACCGCGTCATCAGAAGGATTACAAGATTCTCAAGGAGAAAGAAGCCAAGATTCGCCGTAAAGAGAAACATCATAGCAGATTGCCGGAAGATCCACGAGTACCAGATCCCATCCCATTGGTAAAATGATCGTTCACCTTTTTTCTTTCTTGAAAAAGGCTTTTGTAAAAATGAGCAAATTCTACAAAGAAAGAATTTCTAGTGTAAACATATTTGTATACTATATATATAGTATTATAGTATACAATGTAGAATAAATCGAGAATTATATTACGATTAGTTTTTTTTTTTTTTTTTTGAACGCTAACTTATTAAAAGTTATATACAGTGGGACATTTCTTTTAAAATTATATGATATTAGGAATGCTTGTATTAAAATTGTGCAGATGCGTAAAGCAGTTAAAGTGGAAAAAACACATACGAGTCATGGAGCACCACAAATGATGCGACCTCCGCCGGAATCCTCGCCCAGTGACGACAGCGACAGTTCCTCCACTACATCCCATGTTGGACCACCGAGAATGACATTATCTGAACGGTATTTCATGAAACCATATTACTCAATACAAAACAATATAAAACTCGGACAAATTTGAAATACATTGTATCTTTAATTTTTTTCATTTAATAACGATAAATTTCTGTGTGTATTTTTCTATATAGATTTGGTAAAATGGCACAGTGGAGCGTGGATCGTAGGGACATGGAAAATATGCGCATCACAAAAGACGGCGAAAACGCGATGAAGGTCGTTATAGAGGGTGAGGAGAGAATCGCGCGTCTAGGTTACGATTCGCCGCCACCCGGACATTACCCCGAGTCGCTTCTGGCGCAAGGGCCGAGAGGTTTCGAGGGTTGGGACGACGTACGCGTCCGTTACGACTACTATAAAGCTAGAGGTTACCTTCGCGATCTCACTCTTGATGATTATATCAAGTGGGAAGAATGGTGGTATAAGTATCAGGAATGGCTCGAGGCCGAACGCTTCTACGAGCAGTGGGCCTCGTCGTCAAATCGTCCTTCTGGCAGTAGTCGCAAAAGGCGCGGACGACGCAACAACGCTGCTCATTAAAATATATATGACGAAAAATGTGTTACGGATTCTGCTGACAAGATATATCATAATATCTGTATACTTAGAGTATGCAGAAAACATGTATGTATAAGCGCTCTATATGTATCGTAATAAAAAGTATAAATGTGAAAAAAAAATTTAATTTGGAACAAAATATATTAAACGATTTCAAAAATTCTATATCTTGAGTCAAACTTTTGATGCTTTACTAATTTCGATATATATAAACATTTAAAATTCGTAACATCTTAATCTAATCTATCTAATGTTATATATATAGAGAGATAATGTATAAATTTGTATTAAATGAGATTATATTTATATGTAACGGACTAAATTTCTTTTAATCTTTTTTTTTTATCTTAATCTTTTATTCTATAGTTATAGAGCTCAATGGATTCAAACTTTATTATTAGAGTTGCGTTCGAAAATCCACTATCTTGTAGCTTTTGATTGACCAATCAGGACAAAAGAATTTTTCGGTACTTCTGTTCTGATTGGTCAGATCAAACGCTATTCTACACCGAGTAGATTTTTGAACGCACCTATATTAAGATAAGTTTTCCACGAAGAAATGACGCGCGCAGAATCACGCAAATGGACGTTTTCAGGTTTCTCTCTATTGCGTATTTTTTGTACATACGTTAACTAATATCCTTGGCTGGATTTGCAGACGTACCTGGCTATACTATGGCAATATTGCAATAATAATAATTACGCAATTGTAGAGGAGAAACAATTATAAAAGTGATAGTCGTTTGATATTACATTCAAAATGTCGACAGATCACAGTGGCAAAGGTTACACGCCTTTACCGCAGAGTATGAGCAATACCGATACCGAGGATGAAGAAGAACGTTTGACTCGACCTAATCATATTACCTACAAGATCGACAATACCACGACAATAGCTGTGAGAAATATTAATATATGACAAATATTACAAAAATACATATTCCAAAAGAATGTCTCCATAAAATTTAATTTGAGCCTTCGAAAAATTAAAGTATTATTAATTAAAGCAAAATCTATATAAAATTAGGAAAATAAGATATTTTCTATTATTTAGATTCAAAGATCAAAAAATATATGTTTGTTATTTAATTGTAAACCTTATAATTATATGCATTTTATATAATAATCTATGTCTATCATATTTTAGATTTGTATCTAACAATAAGTATATTATGTTGAAATGATTTCTATATTGAATTTGTTTCTATATATTAGCTAGATAATTCGCATAAATGTATTTCTAGTATGAATGTGTATGATAGAAGATATGACACTATTAATACTTGTAATACTTCAAATTTTTATTTATAATATATTTATTTTATAATATATTATAATTGTCTGTTTTTGTTTAGGAACTACATTCAGGTCATGAAAATGGCATGTATTGTCCACTGGATGAAACACAAAATCTAGGAAATAGCACAAGAAGTAGACAAAATACAATTAAATGTTACCAGGATGATATACCGGTAATGATAATTGAAGAAAGTGAGCAGAATGATTTCTGGAAAAGGAGAGATATGTCGCCAATAAGGCGTTTCTGCCTATTTGCATCTATATTATTATGCATTGTTACAATAATTATCTTTTTGTATGTATTACCTTGTGACAATTCAATGATTTGTCCACCAATTATCGAATCGCAATCGTCCATATCATGGGATAAAACTTTACAAGATGTTGGTAAGTTTATTATTATTATTACATGAACTATACTTGTATATAATATTTTCAATTCTTGTTCTCTTTTGAAATAAATAATCGTAAAAAAAAATACAATTATTTATACTTTGTATGTGATATTTGTATCAAATACTAATAATTATTTCATTAAATGTTAAATGTTTAATATATAATTTAGTATAAAATAATTTAAAATGTAATTTTTTTATATTATATTAATTACAGAAATACATGGGCCTATTACTACAGTACCTGGATCTCCATATAATCTGATATTCCTTCTTCGTGGTGAACAATACAGAGGAAATGATACAAAGAATACAATGATACAAAGACAAATACCTCCAGAAGGAGGAGGAGTTATATCAATGCAAGGGAGTAGTGGATTGCCACTATGGCTGGTTCCATTAAAAAAATCGCCTGCTATTATAGATTGCGCTAGTATTGATATCGATCAATCTGGAAAGCCTGACTGCATTGTTGCTGGTGAACAAGGCCTGCTTGTTAGTATAGATCCCATTGCTGGAACGATTCATTGGAGTGCCACAACTCATACATTTTCCAAATTACCAGTTATTCTACCAGATATCAATGCAGATGATATTGAAGATTTATTAAGTGTAGTAGTAAATGATGCAAATGTGTTGTATCTTGCTTTTCTATCTGGCAAAACTGGTCAATTACTGGAATCTTATTCAGTCAATAATTGCACTTCTATTGATATATATAATCTTGTCTCTAACAACAAGATACTTTATAATTGTTATGATGACAATGCAAAACGTATGTACACTGTAAATAAATCCTGTATTTTAAATTTTAAAATTTCTGTTTATATATCATACTATTATTAATAAGCACTTATTATTATTACAGTTGTACCAAGATTCATGACTTTAGAAGAATTATTCCGCAATATGAAAATGCAAGAAGTACATACGAAATTTGTAGCAGAATTAAAATCACCACGATTGTTTGAAATAGTAAAACAATACGATAAAAAATATAGTTGGAAGCCTACACCTTATCACCATTTGACTATAGAAAACGAAGGAGTATGTCCAGGGCAACTTTGCCGCACTAGTGCAAATTTAACGCTGCAAAAATTAACGAACGAATCGATAACCATTTGGGATCACGTGAGTTCGAACGCGTTTGCATCGAAGCCGGTATTTTTAATGACTTCGGGTAAACCTTATACCTTTGGGTTTACCATTAAATTTTGGCAATGGACGGATTTACTATTCAATCGTGTAGAAAAAGCGGTGATTACAGAGCAAAGATTTATAGAAACAGTCCTAATAGTTCTCATAAATTACACAGATGTTCAATCTGTTAATGCTAGTCAAAGTGATGTAACGCTATTGTGCCATGGACTTGATTGTCAACCAAACTTGAATTCACGTAATCAATTTAGTTCTATCTCAGTCGAATACATCGATAACAATAAATTTCCAGAATTGATAAGTTATTGGTCTTCATACAATGTGGACTCAACGAAAGGATTGACATCGAAAATACAAGTTATAAAGATGGATTCGATAATGTCTAATTTAATACATGGAGATGTTTAATTTTATCAGATGACTTTCGATCATTATATCGCGTTCTGTAATATATGATATTACGCATTCTGTTAAATAATTTATAATTTTCGTATTACATCGCGCGGTAAGTAAATTACCGATAAATTATCTTCTTCATGAATGGGATATTGTAATTAATCATAGATTAATTTGTTCCAAAAGATAGTGTAGGAATTTACTAACTTTTTCTGTTTTTACATCCCGATTAATAGTTCCTAAATGTATGTACTTGTATTTGTTAGTTAAATCGAATCGGGGAGAAATGTATAACAGCAAATTATTTGTCATGAATTAAGTTATGCTTTTTTTTTATTATACTGGGAAAGGTGCCTTGAATCAAGCTGTATATACTTATTATACATATATTTATCATATATATATGAAGTATAAACAAAATTTGCGTTTTAAACAAGTATATTCTTTGAGAGCTTAAAAATGTATGTTATAGAGTATATCTTTCTGCCTAAATAGTTTTAGAATGTTTATATTTTTTACAAACTTTAAATTTCACCACACATAAGTGTGTAAACATTAATTATAAAATGAGTGTTTCCTACATGTACAAGCAATATTGCAGTATTATGAGTTGGATTATTAATGTTAATCTTCTCTCTAGTCTTAATATTATTTAAATTCATTGAATCTTGTTCAGTATTATTAATTTAATATCATTGATTACATATTTGATAAGTTGAAAAGTGATTGGTAGAATTTATAAGAACCATTACAAAAAAACCAAAACATTTACTTCAAACAATGAAAATGTACGTGATATTTTAATTTAATAACAAAAGTATGCCAGCAAATTGAAAGTATGTTTTATGTAGTTCAAATATGAATTTAGATTAAGTTGACACACTGGACAAAGATCCAATATCGATAAGGAAGTTTGAATATTATATGTTTCAATATAAAACAATCACATAGTTGTATCAACTTTGCTTAAGCTTCTTTAGAAAGAGAGTGAGTAAGAGAGAATGTTTTGTGTGTGTATTTATATCAGTGTATATATTAAATCTAATAATGTCTGGTTTTATTCAACATATAATTATATTACCAAGAATTAAAATTTATCGCAACAAATAAAATAATGCAACAAGAAAAAAGTGTAAAAAAAATAGGAATATGATTTTTGATTTTATCTTATATAAAATAAAAAGAAGTACAGATAAAATGTGAATCATTTTAAGTACAGGTAAAATGTGAATCATTTTATGATAATTTAAATATAAATATATATATATATCTCTAAACTAAAATATGTATAATATTATCAAATTATTTGAACAAATCTCAATCACATTAATCATTAATCATATTATTTATTATTATGAATAATAAACTTATATTATTTAAATCGATAAAAATTTTTAAACCATTTTTTATATATTTACTCTAGTGCAACAATACGACTAATTAACGATTTCAATGTGTAGATATTCAGTATAATATATATACATATATATATATATATGCTACGCTACTGCGCATGCGTTCTCTGTCCTTGTTCAACTTTCAGTAAATAACAAAGATAGAACGACGCTTTTAGCGCAACAGCATGCAAGCGTGAGCGTGTTGTCCCAAACTCCGAATGCAGCCAAGATCATTTTGCCGAAATATGACTGGCTTTGTATAGTTCCATAATTGCGATCTTTTGCTCGTTTATCGCGACAGAACAATATGAAACGCCTTCGATATGTGCAATTCCTGTTGCTAAGAAAAAAAATGTGAATTGCACGAAGAAAACCGCGTAAAGGAGGGTTGAAACTGTTTTGCTTCATATTATGACGTTTGATAATAGAGAATATTTAGCATCACAATGTTTAAACGGCCTGAGGACTCGGATGATTATCGTGTGTCCGCGAAAAGAGCGAGACTCAACGCTCCCGGAAGGGATCCGCAGCATAGCAAGGCACAGGAGAACAAAAATGCGCAGTATGATGATCTCTGGGGTGACGATTTCGCCGAAGAAGATATCCAAGAAATGGATCTGATTGCATCTCAAGCATGTTCGCAGGTACTGCTTTTACGTTAAGAAAATACTTGGTTTAAGAATATGCAATAAAATTCAAAAATATAACAAACTTTATTTTCAAGACGAGCAATATATTAGACAATTCGAAACCGTTTGAAAGTGGCTCGCACTCAATGAAATCAGGTTTGCCAGAGAGATCATCTATCATTGCCTGCGGTGAAACATCACGTTTAAAGTTATTACAACCTATGGAAAAGTCTGACTTATATATGATGAAAAAAGATATACAGGGCAAGAGTCAGGATATTGTAGATATTAATTATTCTCAATTTAGAAACAAATTAATGAATAGAGAAAGTCACAACTCAACGTTTCAGAAGGGAAATAACTATATTGTATCAGGTAATTATATATACAAAATTAAGAAACAAATGTGAGAAAGTATTTTGTTTGTTTATATAATTTCTTTATATATATTTATATGTAGATGATAAGGAATTGGAGAAATTAAAAAATGAAATAAAGAAGTTACGGAATGACTTTATAACCAAAGATGGTGAAACTGTATATTTACGACAGCGATTACAGCAAATTCAGTTACGAGCTGAAAATGAGAAATTAGAAAAGATGCGTTTAATTGAGGAACAAGCCAATAGTCACAGATTAGAGATCAACAAAATTTACAAAGATAAAGAACAGTTGAAAACACAATTAGAATTACAAGTGAATATATATTTTATAATATATTATATATTCTATTATCACAAAAATAAAAATAATATTAATTATTAATTCACAGAATTTAGAAATAGGAAATCTTCAGGAGCGTTGTAAACGATTAGAATCTAGAGATATTAAATTAGAAGAACCACAAACATTGTACATGAATACTTCTTTTATTAATAGAAGCAAATGTAGCACTTCAATTGATCGGTAAGCTAATACTATGGAAAATTAAAAATCTAAATTGTTTGATACATATTATTAAAGTCAGTATTTTTAAAATGTATATAAAATCAACTTTAATTTAATAGACAAACAAATACGAATAAAAATCCAATAAAAGAAGTATGTGTACAAGCTAATATCTACAAGAAAACCGATTATCAACTTCAGACATGCAGTACTTGTGAGTATGCTAAAGAAAAATGAAATATATATTATTAAGTCTTATAATCTCTTAGTATTTCAAATATTTTTTAGATTTTCCACTTGCGGGAATTTCAGAATTAATGTTTGAAGCATCATTGCCAGAAAAACCCATTGTTAATATCAAGGTCATAGAAAAGACTGGAAGAAGAAATTTGCCTATTTTACAAGAAGAAGAAACATTTAGGATTTTTGGTATGTAGAGATATATTTGAGTATTATAATTATATACATAGAGTATAGAGAGAATTATATAATATACTATAGAGTATTTATTATAATTATTGTTTTATACAAAAAATATACTAATACAATGGTTCTTTACCCATTGCAGAAAATCCTGATTTGGTAAAACCAGTAATTACAATAGTAGATGAGAAAAAATTGACAATAGAATTTGTTTTACTTGAAATAGCAGCCATTGAGAGGAAAGTTAATACCGAGATAGAATCGGAAAAATGTATACCAATAATTAATAAGGTATAAAAAGATATCTCAATCTACATAAATGTGACATTGCAGTGCGTTTATATGGAATTAATCACAATGAAAAAATATGTATATGCATTTTCATCTTTTTCAGCTAGTTTTGACCATGAGGGAGCTAATGCTGAATGTTGTAGAGGTTTTGCAAATGATCTTTCAAGCCATGAGAAACGATGATATTCGAGATATGAACGATCTATATTTTTCTAATGTTTATGAGAATCATAATATTTGTATCAAGTCCGAGTGCGAACCAAATGCATGGCATGAAGGAGAACGCGGTATCGAGGCGAGAAGATTGCTCGGTGCACTTTCTCGTATCAGTTTAGAATCATCATATTTAAGCAATTACTTGGCAGGAAAGTCACTACTGCTCACATGTAATGATGAGTGCTATAATCGTTACCTACCACAAATGACACGTTATAATGCATGGCCGAAAAAAAATCAGGAATTTGAAATTCTTGAGATCATTCTAGAATGCGTTACTTTAATAGGGCGTGTTGTGAGTACAAAAATTTTATTCTTTAAGATGTGTATCAGTTTTCTATCAGATAAAATATCTTTATATCTTTAATAATAATTGATAAATATTATTACTTACAGAGAAGATCTCATCAATTTACAGGTCTTATAAATGCAATAATAAAAGTACTATGTAATGTACAGCGGAAAGTAGGTTACTGTAAGAAAGGGTACGACAATATTATCTTCATGATTAAATGTTTGCAAATTTGTAAATACGATTATCTTTCCAGATTAGAATATATTTGTCTTATTTTCAAAGAGCTTGTGTTTTCGAGGCCACTATCAATCTGTTACGTTTCATTAATAGATTTCCTAATGATTTTCAAATGCTATACTGAATTTATACCGAAACTCTGCAGTAGTTCACGTTAGTATATATTGTGCATATCTAATAAAAGATTTGTATCTTTTGATATTAATTATTATTATTTTAACAGAATCAATGGCAGTAAAAGGATGGAAAGGTGCTTTACACTTTACACCAGGTAACATACCATTCTGAAATAATAAGTTCACAAAATTTGACATTTTTACAGAGTTTTTTTTATTACAATTTTTTTTATTACTTAGTTTTTTATTTTAAAAGGGACAGATCTATAATGACAAATACACATTCTATGCTTTCAGATGCTTGTGTTTTACAAATTCTTATAATGCAACTGGAGCACTTTCATCCAGATTTTCTCACTACTGTAAATATAACACATGGGTTAATATCATCTGTGTGGGATATTCTGCAGACAAATAATAATTTATTAAGGATTGAGAATTCAGAATCGTGTAATTGTTATATGAAGCTATTACGAATCACAATTAATATGTTGAAAAAATCTTCCGAAACTAAATTAGATATAATTGATAATACTGAGTGGCAGAATTCATTCTCTGTTTCTAAAAAGTGTTATATCTTAAAGAAAATTAATTATAAAAATTATACATGTCAGACGAAAAGTAGTGAGCAGAATATGGAAAAACATCTGTCTGATACATATCCGGAAAAGTTGGATCAAAATTTTTGGCTTGGTATCAAAAAGGTTCAACACAAAATATTAAAACTGGGCATTAGGTTTTTATCCCATCTCGCGATTTGTAATCCAGAATTTCTTACCCATTCATCTGACATGGAAGATATGTTTAATTTATTTATACGAAACATCGCTTTTTTCGACGACTTGATACTTCATGAAAATGAACGTAAGTATCATAAGATTCATAATGTATATTGTGTCATATAATCTATCTTAATGCATTTTAAACAGACTGTTTCAGAAATAATAATCTAAACATATTCTCTTTATTCTAGAATAAAAAAAACTTATAACTAAAAAATTATTTCAATTAATTTGAAAAAATGTTTCCATATCTATATTCAGATAGGTATTTGTACATGCGCGCGTGCACAGACACAATCTTTTTTCCTCATTTTCAAAATGAGTAAAATTTGCTATTAAAATTTGACCATCTATTTCTGAAACATTCTTTATATTTTATTGCAGATGATATATATATATATTTTTACTGTTTTAGGAGAAGCATTAGATATTATAAAAATTACGTTGTTTAATAAAAGTATACAGAATGAAGCTGAAATACCTCAAAAAGATATACATGTTTATCAACTGAATATTAGAAAGAAGATTATTCCTGGAATCAAGAGAAATCATATTGAAGCAATTAAGGATTATAATAGAACATATATGACCATTAAAGCACTGTATAATTCTAAACCAGAATATAGAGATAATTAAATCTATGTATATAGTGCATATATATTTTCCAGCAAGATGACACATTGCCAATATCAAATTCAATACAATGTATTTCAACTGTGACACAGTGTTACATTGCTCAATACTGTATAAGCATATAAAATATCTCATTTATTAACATTTCAAGAAACTTTATGTTTAATATTAAAACAAAATATAATTTCATATTTTATCTGTAATTCAGATAAAAGCAGGAAAAGTAATTAATTTAAAATGAAAATATTTTCATTAAAAGTTAGATTTATCTTATAAAAATTATTGACAATACTTTTTTATTTTACAATAATATGTTATACTGTTATAATAAGTATACATTGTAGTATGTCCTTATTGTTGCCATTTCAACAGAACATGTGACGCAGAAAGCATCTAACCTCTATCTTTCAATTTTGTACGCAGTTATGGAGTGAAATAAAGTGCAGAATGGTGCAGAAGCGGCCCACTGATTATTGCCACTGATAGTACTGATGCACGCAACTGTTATGATAACCGGCAGGAGTCTTGGCGCTCTTGGCGGCTATCAGCCTGTGTAAATATATAATACCTAACAGGTTGCACAATCATACTAGTTGAAACCTAACTTAACCTTGGATTTGATTTTATCTGATTTATCATTCTACACATGTTTAGAGGTAAACAACGACGGATTTATGGAATTCAACGAATTTGACACCTAGAAATTAAGAAGACGAAACTGAGAAAAATTCAAGAAAAAAGATTACAAGCGAATTAAGGAAAGAATGAGGAAGTAAAGGAAATTCGAAAGAGAATTAGAAGGAAACATTACTATATCTCATACAGGAAATCATATTGAATAAAGAAATAAGAATTCAGTGCAGTTTGATGAGTGTATTCAAGTGCACTCTGATGTCATTCGATCCAATTTAATCTATTGCCGCGAATCAGTTCTCTATATCTATGACCACAGTTTATATCTGATTAATTTGCAGCACTTGACATTGATAACAATTTGCAATAATTGGCGAGAGTGGTGTACAACTGTAACAAGCATAAACAACTGACATACACGAATCGAGCAAAATGGTCTTGGAACAATACAAAGAAATTGTTGGATCTTGCGCCATGTATGTTACAATGGCACAAATGTTAGCTGGAACGTAAGTATATCAAAAAGTAATAATATTTTCATTTAAATATATCTTATCTTTTTAATAAATATAATGTAGTTTAATAAACGAGAGAAAGACAAAGAGAGATACATATATAATGAAAGTTTTTAATTAAAATGTTTTCACATATGTATTTTAATATCGTACATATGTAGAAAAAAGGAATATTTAAAAAAAATATTAAGAAATTAAATTTAAAACATTTGCTGCTATTGATATTATACTGTATCAGGTATTATGCTGCAATAATGGCTCTTATACTCCTTATCATATTTCACAATTCATCATTTTTAATTTCTGCTTACTACTGAGATATAATATGAATTGTTTCTTAAAACTTCTTATTAAATTCAATGCAATCCAAAGTTATAAAATTTGCATTAATAAAAAAAAATGCTACTTATTTTTAATACAGCTATATTTTATAATTTGTAGATTAATATGCAAAGACATATACAAGAAAGGTACAGCCAAAGGAACTGATCCAATGCCTTTTCTTGGTGGCGTAGGATTGTAAGTATAGACACACACACATTTTAAATGTAATTAAAGTACAAAAATTGTTTAATAACTAAATCCCATGCATTTTATAAATAATACTATATTTTGTAAGACTTTGTTGATTAATTATTGAATTAATTATTGAAAACTGAATATTCATATTCACATATGCATTACAATAAAATAATAATATTAAGAAAATTATGAATAAGTAAAATGCATTATGTGATTAAATTAATAATGTTCTTCTAGATGCATACTGATGCTTCGATACGCATTGATGTTAAATGATGCTACTATGATAAATGTTAACATATTTGGTTTACTGATAAATATTATATATTCGATAGTGTATTACTATTATGCTCCAAATACGGTATCTGACAAAAGGCTTTATTAAAATATGTTTAATTTGAAGAGTTCAAATTAAACTTGGATTTTCTGATTATTATGTAATGTCCTTTTCTTTTTCTAGAGAGAAGTGCTTAAATTAATATACAAGGTAACAATCTTTGTGATAATCCTGCTTGTCTATGCTCAAATAGAACATCCAACAAATGTCGAATTTAGATTTGGCATAGTGGTTACAGTACTCCTTTTTCTCTTAATTGCAGCTCCTCTTATGCATCTTGTAAGATGTGTTCATAATTTTTCTATGTATATTAAATATTTTTATCATATTTGTAAGAAATTATTAAAAGATTTATATTAATATAAAAATATTTCTCACTTTTCAGAAAGAAGTTATAAAAACAAAAAACACAGAAATTCTTCCATTTCCACTAATCTTTATGGGTACCCTAGTTTCTTTTCTGTGGTTTCTATACGGTCTTATCATCAACAATGTTTTTGTTATTGTAAGTATTTTCTTTGCAGTTAAAAACTTAAAATAACTACGCAAGATAAGCTTTTAATGTACATTGCAAATTATGGCTGGTACAATCTTTGTGATAATCCTGCTTGTCTATGCTCAAATAGAACATCCAACAAATGTCGAATTTAGATTTGGCATAGTGGTTACAGTACTCCTTTTTCTCTTAATTGCAGCTCCTCTTATGCATCTTGTAAGATGTGTTCATAATTTTTCTATGTATATTAAATATTTTTATCATATTTGTAAGAAATTATTAAAAGATTTATATTAATATAAAAATATTTCTCACTTTTCAGAAAGAAGTTATAAAAACAAAAAACACAGAAATTCTTCCATTTCCACTAATCTTTATGGGTACCCTAGTTTCTTTTCTGTGGTTTCTATACGGTCTTATCATCAACAATGTTTTTGTTATTGTAAGTATTTTCTTTGCAGTTAAAAACTTAAAATAACTACGCAAGATAAGCTTTTAATGTACATTGCAAATTATGGCTGGTATCTATTTTAAACTTTTTCAAACAGTTTCAGAATGCAGTTGGTTTTATTCTTTGCATAATTCAATTATCTCTTTTTGTGATATTTCCATCCAAAAAGTTAAAAGTTGAATTGTTGAGTGAGGAGAAAAAAGGAGACTAAAATGGTCTTCCAGAATTTTAAAAAGAAGAAATATTTGTTATATTCAAAATTAAATTTCTTATAGTATATATATTTGTAGAATAACAATATTTTACATACGTAGATATCTGCAATTGTTGATTTCTTATAAATCAAAGAGAAACTAATTGGAAGAATATTCCTATACTATAAAAACTAATTTTAAAAATTCTATATGTACTTTACTATATAAAAATTATGTTTTACATACAGTATAGCCTAACTTCTAATTGTGTGACGGATACCCGATTCATTTTGGCCAACAGATTTTACTTTTACGTATTTTGGAATAAGAACATATTTTTCGGATATATAGTAAAATAGATATAGTATTAATAGATTTTTATCTTATTTTTAAATAGCATATTTAATAGTATTTCAATATTTCCTTTTTTGCACAAGTTCAGTATTATTGTATCCTTGTATTTGTTCTTGTTAGATAATTTCTAAATCTGAATAAACCTGATATCCGCCAGATCTAGCTTCCATAACTAATCAACTAGTGCACACAATCAATATACACGGACATGTATTTGAATTGTTATATATATATATATTCGATAATAAAATATAATACAAATAATATAGTACTAATAATACAGTATAAATAATATAGTATATTATATATATCAATATACATCAAATGAGAATTGTTAAATAAAATGGCGTTGTTTGTTACTTGTTTTTAAGTATATAACATTTATTTCGTTAAAATATACACTTTTTCTTACGATTAGCGCGAATTCGGTTACATACTAATACATTATATTGATGCATACTAAATCTTGGATATGAAATTTTTTTTTCAAACCTTGTATCCACGATGCTAGAACTCGGTCAGAGATCTCGGTTCGAAGTGTATCGGCTATAAAATTAAATATAGGTATAAAATATAAATATAGAATATTATATAGATATAAAATATATATAAGTATAAAATTACCGCTTTTCCGTAAAAGCTGCAAATTGATTGGCTATACATTTCTCGGTCCGAGAACTCGAACCGAATTCTAGTATCGTGGATACATGGCTTAAGAGGATATTTCGTTTGTGTATAAATTCTTTAAAAATAAAATTAATGGATGCTGGCGTAGCAATAAACGAATCAAAGAAAATAATCCTGAAAAATTACAAAAAAATCATTTGAATCTTTTGCCTTATCTCTGAAATACTATTAAAAACCGCTGGCCCTGAGTAGACCCACGATCCACGCCCTGGATAAATTTTCGTGACTATCAAGGCTGCGTTCGGAAACATCACCGTGTGCACACGAGCGTCGTTCTATCTTCGTTATTTACTAAAAGTTGAATAAAGATAGAACAACGCTCGTGTGCACACGGGTGATGTTTTTGAACGCAGCCCAAGTGGGCCCGGAGATAATAGAAGGTTAATAACGTTACCGGCCGTTTTGATTGCATTAATTATAAAGATAATTATTTGAATCATGCGATTATTTTAGCTAATTCAGCTGTTGTTTTATTATCGAAATTGTATGGATATATTTTATGTAGCTGGTGAATAAAAAAAAAAACAAAAAACTTGCTGCGCACTATAGATAAATAAATCTTTGCATTGTCGGTAATAAAACAGTAATTTGATACAATAAAATGTTTATTTTATTGTTCTTGAGACAGTTACATAAAAGATCTATATATTTTCGATAATAAAACAATAACTGGATGAACTAAAATAACCATATGAATTAAATAACTCGTGTATTTATCTTCGATGCAGTCAAAATAGCCGGCAATGTCACCAATCTTCTATTATCTCCAGGCCCAGCGGGCCCACTTAGTTAGTCACGAAAATTTACTCAGGGCCAGCGATCTTTAATAGTATCTCGTCGGTGGCTGTACCTTGTTTGTCAACTCATAAATTTTTCTTTTTTTTTTCGAAAAAATCGCTCTTTACCGACCCTTAAATTTTAAATTGGCAAGCCTGTCATCATTTATCAGCCCGCTTCTGTAGCCGTCACATCTGCTCTATCACGTCGTATCGCGTGGTTGTTCGGCGTGCTTTTAACCTAACTCCGATGACAGATGTGTGAAATGTCAGTTATACGTTGTCTTGCAGAAAACAAATGGATTCAGAAGTGAAGCCGTACAGATCTCTGCCACCATTAGTCGAAGGCAAAATTCACGGTAATTTGAGGCTCGTTATTGACGAAGTTCTCTGGCATAGAAGTCCCGGAGATGTCACGATAGTGGCTTCCTGGTGGGGCGAACACGACAGTGCTCAATTCAGGTGATTGTAATGTCCGTGCTTCGGAGCAACTTTCTTTTACGATGAATCAGATGAGAAAAACGATTGATGCTTAAACAAATATTGCGTCTTAATCATATATATTTAAACATATTTTATTGCTTTCGTGAGACTATACAACGCACATAATACACAAAAGTTTTCATGTTTTTTTTTTTTCAGGCCGGTAGATAGTATTACAGATACAGCAAGAACAGATGAGGATACAACTAAAACATATGCTATAAAAACTAATGCAACGCTTTTTGAGGATTATCTAAAAAATTGTGGAACATTAGAATTAGTAATTATTGCAGAAAAAACTCGCAAGATTGTTGGCACAGCGCGTGTAGGAGATTTGTCTAAGATATTTACATGTAAATATTATACTCAGTTTGTTCCAATATTAAATAACAATGGCGATAGAATAGGGAAAATACATGTTTCTTTGCAATTAATATATTTAACAAAGCTCCCAAATATGCAATTGAAAACATGCAAATACAATAAAAAACAAGACAGAAGCGATGTTTTAGCATCAGTTGATGATAATTTGCAATATAATGAAGAAATACCAGTGACATCCTACAAGAATGCTGATATTATTAAAAAAAGAAACTTTACAAAATTTACAAACAATGATACGTATGATGCATACAGATCTGTCCTTAAAGCCAAACGACAAGATTTTCAAGAATCGAAGACAAAGTTTAATGAAATGGTAACAGACAATCTAGTTGCTCAGATTGTTGCCAGAGCACAGCGACTTAGAGGAGCAATATTAAAGGAGACTTACAATGACGATTCTTTAGCTCTTAGCGATAATTCAATTAGCAATGGTTTATGTTCTTATGCTTCAGCAGAAAATGAAGCAAAGCTTTACGAATATATTTTGGGGACTGAAATGACTTCCTCAGAGGAGAAGAAAGCCTTAAACACGTTGAGATCAACATCTCCAACTCCAAGTTTGATAGATCTGGCTTCTGAAACAATCACAGCTAGTAAAAAAGATAATATGAACATTAGACAAGGGAATGAAAATTCTCTTGTAAAATTAAACAGTTCTGTAGAAGATGTATTGTATGAAAAGACAATTGATGGCGAGATGAAAGGTTGGTAAAGTTAATAAAGATTTGTAAATAGAGTAAATTATTATGATGTCTTTGAATAATAGTTCAATAGTTCAATAATACATAATTTTTTTATGTTTTAGGAGCACATCCTCTGGATCATGTAGATAGTGTAAGAATTTTCATTGAATCCCTTACACTGAGTTCTGCGGGATATAGACGTGCAAAATCTACATGTTTGCAACGTATGTAAATTTTTCTTCTGTCATTTTATATTTCATGAAAAAACTGACATTAATATATTTTTATATCAATATATTTTAAATATTATATTTTGTAAAAACGTTTGATATGAATAATTTATATGTTCTTTTTTCAAAACACAGATGGTGTACCATTGTCACTGACATATTTTATTCAATATGATACAACATTTGGATCTGCAAGACAAACAAATATAAAATCTAATAAAGAAATTAAGCTTGTAAGGACATGTGCTAAAAAACAAGTGGGTCAAGGTAAAGATTTGCATCGTTTTATGAAAATTATTTAAATGCATAAGATATAATTAAGACAAAAATTTTTTATTTAAAATATTTTATATTAATAATATTTAATAGAATAATATATAACTTTTACAGTCATTGACTTCAACTCTGAAGGTATCTATAGTATACAGAGACACATCATAAAGAAAAATTTTCCCTTGACATTTAAAATTTTTGTTCGACATCTTAATCAAAAGTTCCCAACTGAGCTAGGATGTGGTTCTATGAATATTAACGACATTGCAAATACTGTAAATTTAAGCAGTACCCAGCGTATAATTATTATTAATAAAGGCATTAAAATAGGTGATCTAAAGGTCACAGCAGAATTAGGCTATAATTCTACTTACTTTGGGAAAGAATTCGTTGGTGAGTATAATATATTTTTGAGATATATTAAGCAGGGATTGAATATCGGATAATAGAGTTATTTTATTAGATGCAATAATGTCTGCAAAAGAAAATATCCCTGTTTTGGAGATAAAATCTTTAAGCTCGAATGGTAACAAATACAGGAGTGCAACAGGGACTCATTCTTCCAAATCTAGTAGTAAGGTCTCGTCCGTCTCTGCTAAACGAATTGAATGTTTAACTAGTAATAACAATAAGGACTTGATTGCTACAAGAGGTATAGCGGAGCACCGAGAACGAAGCTCAGATAATAAAAAGATTGATACAAATAACCCAGAAAATGGTACTAAAGATAAGGTAACTTTAAATGATATAATTAAAGCACGAATGAGTGCTTTAACGCCGTTTGGCTGTTTGCACTAAATGAACCAGAATGTTTTTGAGCAAGAAGTAGCAATAGACAGTAAGATAATTGTAGTAACACTCACTCAATATGGACAGTTGTGTATAGCATGGTTATGGCTAAGTGATATTCATTATGGCACTCATTCAGATATAATAGTTATGTTTTAAGTAAATATTTATCATGGCTCTTATCATTTGCATTTGATTTTAGGTTTTACTTCATGGCTTGATATATGTAGCCGAGGGTAAAAATTTACCACAAGAATCTAATACCTATTTGATATGTAGAGCGTTTTGGCGAGAGGATAAAGCAACGAGTCAAATCTGTAGTAATACGAAAAATCCATTCTACCATTTCTTTCAAGTACAAATTTTTTCTCTTATGTCCAATAAAATGATTTATAAACACAAAAGTGAATTTTACATAAAAAACATTTGTTGCAGCTAGTACCATTAATTCACGGTATAGAATTATTGGAGAGAATTAGAGATAATTATATAATCATAGAAGTATACAGTCGACAAAACAGTGAGACAGATAATCTGTTGGGAATAGCAAAACTACCTGTACACCAGTTATACATTGCATATAGAGATCCACTTGTTTTACCTCACTTGCTATTGTCAAAGGTAATTATAATTAATCTTATTTTCATCAGATTTAATATTTTCAAAATTAATTATATAAAATTTGTATGTTTTCACACAGTATCCTGTAATAAGTGTGGATGGTTGGGTCGGTATTAACAATCCAGTAAGCGGAGAATCTTGCGGAGAACTGCTTGCATTGGTCGCACTTGGCACTGCGGAGCAAATTGCATTACTAGAAGTGTCAAGAGGTCTAAGAAATACTAGTGTCATACCGCGAACAGTTCATCACTGTCATGTTCTTGACAATACGAATAATGCAACGAGCGTTTACCAAGAGAGTTTACCGTGTAATGTTCCTGAGGTGTTAAATCTCAGTTCACGGAAAGTTACACGCGATAATAATTTCGCTTATCACGTTTATAATACAACCGATCGAGATTCAGTATCCGCCGATTACAAGAGTCAAGAAAGTCAAACTGATATCTCGAGTCTTCAAGATGCGAGATCGGAGAAACCAGTGGAAGAAGCTGAACTTCCCGAACATTTGGCTTTACATGCCTTAGTTGACCGTTTAACGAATGCGTTACATACTAATAAGACCAGCACTGACCAGTCGGCGCAAACAGAGATGAATCAAGCGGATGAAGGAGAAATGAATGAAAAAGAGTTACGTTTAAATACGCTAAATAGTAATAGTCTCACTGACAATAGCGATAATAGTTGTAGTCCGAGAAATGATTTTCAATTACCTACGGAAATGTATAGAAGCGTTGGCGTCGGTGCAGAATACGACGAAGAATTAGATCGACAGCGCAATAATGCTTATGATAATTTTTCAAATTCATCCGTGATAAAAGAAAATGCGGAAAGAGAAGAATTAAACACCGATTGCGATGGCTCTTT